CCTCTCAGCCTCAGGATATGGGGTTCCTTGTGTGAGCAGTTTGTGGGGAAAGGGACAACCCTGGAGCAGTGTGGGCAGGCAGTGATATGGAGCTAAGGTGAAAGATGGCTGTGGAAAAGTCTGGAAATGGGAAAGGTGTTTCTACCCTGGAGGTGGGGGTCTCTAGGTGAATCTGCTCTAGCACGGGAAGGGCCTGTGGGCCAGAGGCATTCAAACCTGCTGTGCTCTGGGGCCCTTTCTCCAGTATTTACCTCTCCTTTATGGCAGGAAAAGGCTCCTTCCACAGTGAGAATACAGTAGTTGACGCTATCCTGTCTGCACCCTCAGGTCTTGGGGCTAGATCCAGATTAGCAGTACAGGTGTCTGGCTTCACCCATGAGCCTCCCTCATACACAGCCCTCCAAGGCCCATCTCTGCACAAAACCCCAGTGCAGAACACGGGCAACGTGGAGCGGGAGGGCAGCTTTGGCAGGTGAACGACGGGTGTGCGACATTGCAGCCTTGCTCTCCCATGGCATTTTGGTTGTTTGAGGTATGGTTGGCCAGACGTGGCGCTACCAGCAGAGATCTCGGGGCCTGCTACCCCTCTTCCTGGAGATGTGCGTGTTTCAGCAGACACGTTCCTGCGTGCTGCCTGCTAGGAGGTGATGTCAGCCTTTTGAGACAGACACCCCCAAGCAGAAGCACTCCCCTTGAATTGTGACATTTCTTCTTTTTCCCAAGCGCACTCTTTTGCTCATTAAGTCTACATCTTCCCTGACCGTTTCAGACCAGCTTTTCTCCTCCTTTCCCAGAGGAATCCTCTGGCCTTCGAACGGCAGAACCAGGTGCTTTCTTTGAAGTGAGGAAGGGCCAAGGCAAGGGCCAGCAGCATCTCTAGCACGTGGCCAGCTAATGAGCTCTCCCTGCTAGCTCGTGTGTCTGTGGGAGAGCACGGGGTGTGCAGGTGTGTGCAGCTCATGGTCCAGTGTGGGATGGCTGCGATTTTAAGTGGCCCTTGGGGAGGGATGGTGGGAAGAGGAGTGTGGACTTGAGAGCTGGCTACCAGCAAAGCTTTGGTGCTGGCTGTGCAGGGAGAGAAGCAAGAGACACTGTAAGACCACAAATATTTTCCCTTCCCAGGGGAAGAAAGTGCAGCCTGTGCAGCATCGCTTCTCTGACGATATGACTGGACTTTGCAGGGAAATGCTTTCAAGTTTAGGAGGCATTTGGCCAAAAAAGGTGGGAAGAAGAACGAGGGTGTCTGTCAGGCTGTCCCTCTGTCAGTGGCACGTCCCAGAACAGAGACTCTGAAAAAGGGGACGTGGCAGCAGAGGCTCCACTGCCCTGCAGAGATAGCTGTGCCTCCTGGCAGGGCTGCCTGCCCAGCCGGTCAGGAAATACTGCCCCAATATGTCCCCTACTGCACCAGCACCTTTCTGAGACAGCAGCAGGGTTTTACAACACCATTTAGCACAGGTGAATATTTCAGGATATGTGCAATTCCCTACCTATAGGAATGTGGTAGCAAAAGCAGATAATGAAGCTAGTAGAGGGGCTTCAAAATTGCTGTGCTACTGAGAGTCTTTTTGGAAGGCACCTCTCTTTGAGGAGAACTTTTTCTTTGTTGTGGGGTCTGGCCTATCACTGCCAGCTGGGGTTGGCCCTGCCCGAGCAAAGGCTGACATTTATCTGGCCTGAGTAGGAAGAATGTGCATCTGGCGATCTCTATGACTATTTAATAGTCCTCTTTTATTGTCCTTGTCACAGGAGAACAGCATTTGCAGAAAAGGGAGATTAGAATGAGCTCCAAGGCAGATTCTGGAGCCTTCCGATTCTGTCTGATCTTCCCAGTACCACCTCTTAGCCAGATATAAGCAGTCTTCTTTGATACACATTTTTTTCTGTGTATGTGTATGTATACATGTATGTGTATGTATATGTGTATGTGTGCGTATGCTTCGGGATTTTGATTTAAATGTGGCCTCTCCTGCGATCCTGTCTGATCTTCCCAGTACCATCTCTTAGCCAGATATGAGCAGTCTTCTTTGATACACATTTTTTTCTGTATATGTGTACGTATACGTGTATGTGTATGTATATGTGTATGTGCGTATGCCAAACTCGTTGAACTTTGTGATTTTGATTTAAATGTGGCCTCTCCTGAGCAGGAACAGTGTAGTGGGCTCACTCCAGCCACTACAATGCTACAGTAGCGAAAGGCAAGGAATTACAATCTCAGAGGAAACATTAGTGTTACATGAGTTGCATCACAGCCAAAATTTCAGGATTATCTGATTTCAACCTCTGCATCTGACCTGAAATTGGTGAAGATCCTGAATCTTTTTTTAGTGGGATAACCTTTTTAAGGCTGAGACAGTAGGACTACCTCTACCTAAAAAACTTGGAGGTGCCCCACTGTCCATCCAGGATACAGTTTATCTTTTGATACAGTATATTAGCCCTCCTTGCTGTAGGAAACATGCTGTGATCTCAGATGCTGAGATGGTTTGGATGAAGGAGCAGGATTTAACTTGAGCAAAGAAAGAGGTGTTACTTGACTCTGCAGTGGGGCAGCTGTCATTCAAGGGTTGCGTTAGGCTGGGGACTCCCAAAGGGAGTCATCTAGCTCTGCATTCGTATAACCTCTAATGAATCACTCCAAGCTGCACAAATTGGAGCAGATAAACTGTTACGTGATGCAGGCAGTACCTGATCTGTGCATGTGTGTTTGATTTGTGCTGAACTGCCAGGCTGTTTTGACCCACCAGCCATCTCTCGTAGACATGGGCTTGTCCCCAAAGGTGCCATGAGCACAGCTGTATCTCAGAGTCCCAGCTGCACATGACAGTGGTAAGATGGAGAAGAGGCCGTGAATATTTGCAGGGAAATGATAACGAGGTTGTTTCTTCTATTCCTTTGTTCTATTGTATTGTTAATTATGAAGTGTTGTACATTGCATTTTGGAATTGTCATGGCCTCATCAGCATGGAAGCTCTGAGCACTGCAATAAGTCATTCCTCCTGGCTGTCCCTGCTAACTTTCTCCTCTGTGTTGTTAATGGGAAAGAAGCTGGGCTCAGCCATAGCATGTTAATAGGCTGTGAGGGAGCCAGCTCAGAGCAGGGTAGGAGCAGGGAAGGAAGAGGGTGGTGTGAGGAGTTATGCCAGGGCTCAGAGTTAAAAGTCTGGTGAAAGTGAAAATAGAAGTGCTATGTGATGAGAAGGATATGCTCTTCTGAAACTGAGGTTAAAAATAATAACAGCATCTCAAAGCTAGTCAGGAGATACAGTATATTTTTCTCTCCAGTAGCTGCCGGCCTTTGGGGTAATGAATTCAAAGAGTCTCAGTGCTCTTCCCTAAGGGATGTTATGTCTGCTTTCTAAACCTTTGCATTTGCTACTTTTTTTTTTTTTTTTTGACAAATACCAAGCCTTGAAGAACAAGGATTTGGATCAAAGCACCGGTTGGAAACTAGATGCTGGAAGTGAGGTGGATAAGTAGATCTTGCAGTGTCTTAGCTGGGAATAATGGGGGGGCTGCAGTCCGAGGTGAAATATGTGGCTGGAAGTAATAAGTGAGTGTCATGGAGAGCCCTGGAGGGCATGGGTCTGACTGCGTGGACATGAACGATGTTGCGGACTGAAACACCAAGGGTGCAGCATGCCAGGGCAGAGCAGGCTCAGCAGAGCTGTGTGTGAGCTGCACGTTCCTAGAGCAAAGGGGGGTTGAGCTCAGTGTCTGGAAGGATAACCTAGAGTTGAAGAGCAAGGGCAAAGAACTGTGAGGAGACAAGCTCCATACTGTGGATCACCGTGGCTGATAAGTCTTTTGCTGCTGATGATCTGCTTTTTCCAGATTGATGTGTGCTTGAAAGCTCTTGTGTTGCTTTTAAGCCTGTACTTGCCTGTGTATTCTGGAAAGTGGGTATGATGACAGGATGAAGGGCAGAAAGCATCCATCAGGCTGTGATCTGGCAGCCCTTTGGCAAGATCTTTTCCTTAATAGTGCCACTGTAACCTCCCTCCAAGCCATTGCTTTGACAAACCTTTCCCAGTTCCACGGTGCTATTTAATGGAGAACATTCGGCTTTGTGTTTTCCCAGAGCAAGGTTTCCATTAAGTGTGCCCAACCAGCAACGCGATGTTCTTTTAGAAAGGCACAATGCTCTTCAGTGCTCTGGCATCGCTGAGTGTGAGATCTGTTATTCTGCTTTTCCTATGCCCAGCTACATGCTCTGACCTTTCCTGTCGGTGGAACAGCTTTTGCAACTTGCCTTCCCAGTTCCTCTACTGTCCTGGCACTGTGGAACTCCACATGCTCCCATAATGTTTAATTCCTTCTTACAGTTTGCATTATGGCTCTGTGTTGGAGCTGATTTTATACGGATTTGACATAAATTTACAGTCTCACTCTCAAGAAGCCTCCTCGGCGAGCGGTGCAGAGTGAGGCTGACACAGTGTTTCCCCAGGGAGGAGAGAGCGTGCTTGAGGCAGCAGAGATGAAGCTGGGTTTGGCAGGACTGTGTAGTGCATGGGTTTGGGAGGGCAGAGCGGCTGCGGTATTTCAGGTTGTGTCTACATCACTCTGTTTTGCAGTGCTTGAGGTGGCTCCAAAAGAGTTTGCACGATCAGCTGGGAAGGCGCAGCAGCGTGTTTGGGAGCCAGGCTGTCCCAGGGGCTACAAAGCTCACTTAAATTGTTCTTCGCGGAGAAGACAAGCCAGAATAGCCCTGTTAGAGAAAAAGATTGACAGAAAAGAGAAATACTGGCAAAAGCTTGCTATTCCACTCCCACTGCTTGTTTAGTGCTAGGGAAAAACAGCCACGGTGCCCCATTAGTACTAAAATGTGAAGTTCTGCTTAAAATTCCTTCAGTGCAGTGTCTGGCCACAGGTAATCATTTGTCAGAGCTGTCAGTCCTGTGACTCTCCCCTGCTCCGAGATCGCTAACAGAACAGAAGTATATCGTACCCTTGTTGCTCATTCCTCATGTGAGTTTTGTTTCTCCCTCCTTCTCCAGGGGCTCTCACTTGCGGCTGGAATGGCAGAGTTCGTCTCCCAGCCTCCCTCCACCTGGCACTCGGGCCCTCAGCCCCCTCATAATTCTGCCATCTGCCCACTGGAGTCCATGGATCTGGGCATCTCAGAGCAGCAAACGCCACTGGAGCAGCCTCAGTCTTCACCAGAGCTGGGTGAGGATGAGGAAATCAACTCACCGCCAGATCCTGATGTTCCCTATCCCGACTTGGCCCCAGTCGTGTTCTTCTGCTTGAAGCAGACTACCAGCCCTCGGAATTGGTGCATCAAAATGGTGTGCAACCCATATCCTTTCCAAGCTGCCTCTTCTCCTTGCTCCCCTTTGAGTCCCTCCTGCCCCATCCCTCCCCTCTCCCTGCCCTCACAGCACGCCTGACAGGTAAGGAATGAAGTTTCCTACATATTTAACGAACCACTTTGCTCCTCACTTGCATTTGAACAGAACCTCAGCTGTTGCAATGTATGATCAAAAGAGTCTGCTTATGAAAGAAGGGACTTCAGAGAGAGCTGCTGTCAGTTGTGAGCACGGAGACAGCAATGGATGAGGGTGGAAGAGAGGCCTGAGGAAAGGTATTTTAACAGGCTTGTCTTCCCTTCTCCCTTTTCACCATTGCCCTAGGACAAAGAAGGGAGTCCGCTGCTCCAGGAGGCTTGTTGGCAGGTCAGCATAAACAGAGGAGATTCCTATGCCAAGAGCAGAGGCCACCAGGACAAAACAGAGTTCAACTCTGTTTTCATGTTTCAGCTTTCCCTTGGTGAGGGAACCACTTTTCCTGGGCCTCAGCTGCAAAGATGTCAAGGTGACCTCTTACCTGGCAAACAAACATCGTTGTTCTGGAGATACCTTACCTTGATTTCAGGAATAAATTAAAGAATCTAGTCTAAATCTGATGCTGAGCCTCATGCCTTCAGTGAGAGATCTTTAGGATATAAGCACTGCTCCCCTTTCGAAGGGGCATGCATGTATCACCGCTTATTCTTGGCATAAGCACTGCTCCCCTTTCGAAGGAGGTCAGCAAACTGCATGCATGTATCACCGCTTATTCTTGGTGCCTTGATTGCAATGAGGCCCCTACAACACAACAGTGTAAACAACAGTTACCGGCACTATTAATTAGTACTGAGGCCTCTAAGAAGCAACTTCCTCTGGGGCTCTCTAATCTGATTCAGTACAAAGAGCAGGTGGGGGAAGATTTACTGGCATAATTTTTATTTTTGTGGGGGAGGGGTGGTGGGGAGTGGTATAAAGTTTTGCTTACCCCTTTTTCTGGCCAGAGATCTCCAGTACTGGCACATCCCCCTGATTTATTTATTATTTATTAGTTTTGAGATAGGTGTGTATTATCCATAAGGCTAATTTTTATGGTTTTTGTGTGCTGACTTTTAGATTAAATCTGAGTGTCCAGGCATACAGCAGAGACTCGTAGAACATTATTAAGAGATTTTTGGCATTAAGAACCAAAATTCTGAGTGAGCCTTTTTGTCAGCAGCAGGTGACCTTAGATGACTGATGACTCTGGAGATTTGTTTTAATTTCCAACATGAAGCAAGGCCTGGTTTCAGATTTGAGTTCCTATTTTATGGTCTGGAAGCTCTCAGAAATGTTCTGAAGTCTCAAGCACAGGTTATAACTGAGAACTTGTTGGTAGTTTAGGACTTATGCATTCCTTTCTGCTAGCTGTTCTTTAAAATGTTGAAACTCATATTGAATTATGAATAATTTTTCATTAACTGTATAGCTGTAGCATTTGTGACCTGTGAGTCTTGTGGAGACTTAGGGTAATACATTCACGATCTGTGCTTTGATGAAAAAACTTGATTCAAAAGCTGGGAGAAAAGCTTTAGACAGACCTGAGATGGAGGCTCCTCCTTGAATGGGGAAAGATCAGAAGGGGAGGGAAGAGAAGAAACGCATGTCTGTACTTCGGGCTAAAAGGTCAAAGTTGGAAGTCATTCCACTGTGATGTGCAGTGTGGAGTTTTTGGATACTGGAGTTCTGCTATTCAGGGGCTTTGGCATCTATTTGCTCATTTTGGTGTTTAAATGCTACTTTGTTTCAATCCTGAGATATGTGTGCCATTCTACTCTGAAAATGGCCTCCTCCTAGTGAGGGCCATAGAAGGAAAGAAAAAACCATGTTCAGTCACCTGTTGATGACTTTATACCGAGTTACATGTGACACAGATGGCAAAGGACAGTGGCGAGATTGCTGGGTGCCTTTTGAAAGGGCTTTCAAAGCTGTAATTTCAGTTCAGCTATGTGAAGTTAGAAGATTATTTGAAAAGCAGAGGCTGATGATTGGAGAAGATTCTGTTCCCCTCTCTCTATTTTTCCCCTCTATTTGTGGTTATTACTTCAAATGATCAATGCAGTAGTTCCTGTAGTTTTTCAAATGAGGGATCACTTCTGCCCATCCAGATTTCTTGTAGGTCATGATGAGTCTTTGGCAGTGCATTTTTTTTCCCCTGATAACACTATAGAAATTGCACTGCTCCACGGTCTGGCTGCAGACTGCACACTATGGCTTCATCCTAGTCTGGAAATAAGCCCCTTTTGTAAGGGATGCTTTTATGAAAGTCAGATTACCTCTTCTTGATAATGTGTATGTTTACTGCCTTCTTCTTAGTCTGAAGTCTTTTTAAATCCCTGTTATATTGGGCAATTAGCTTTTCAGCTCTCCTACGCCAAGCAGAGGCAGGCTGGGTTGCTATCACAGGGCAGCACCTGGCTTTTCCTAAAAATACAACAAAAGTGGGGAGGGGGTATTAGTTAAAAGCTTATTAATCTTCTTGTTGACTTTCTACTAGGCCAGAACTTCATGATCATTAGATGATGGAAGTATTTTCAATGAGACTCAAAATGGAAGCTTTGATCATTAAAGACTACGTGGCAATTTTTGTAAGTGTGAAGTCATTAACTACTAAATTTCAATTTAGGTAATTGCATTCCACCTACTTAAATCCACCCTCCCCTGTAGATTATTTTCCCTTCCATGAACAGTCCTGCAATTGTTATGTGCTATTAAACAACTGCTCTATTGCTTTGCTGCAGTGCAGTAGGAGGGGGGGAAAAAACGTTTGTATGTGTATTTTAAAATAACTTCTGGATGCATGATAGCATATAAGTGTGTGATGCTGTTACTGCAATTATTGGAGACCGTAACTCCATTTTAAGACAAGGACCGCGTTGTTCCAAGCAAAACTTGAGGTGTATTTTCCTAAGGGAATATTTACTGTGCTTTCCGCCACTGTGCTGTATGGGCAAAGGGAGCCTGATGCTTCTAAGTTACGTGACTGCACATTTCTGGGGTGTTTTTACATACAATATGAATGAATGTCTGCATTGTCTTAGCTTATTGGTGACTTCCTTTTTTTTATTTTAATATGTAGAACCCTGATTAACCTTGTTAGATAAAGGCAACTGCTACATAATCGTCTGGGTGTGCAATGCAGAGTACACCTGGAGTCTGGCCTAGTTTCTAGTGTGCATGGAAAGGAGGCTGGCTTGATTCACCACGCTAACATCCAGACTGGTGGCAAGCAACTTTGGTTAGGTTTATTTCTGTTCTGTGAACAAGAATAAAGCTGGTAGTTCTGACTTGCAAACTGTGGAGCTGTTGCAGCGGAAATGCTAACATGGTCAATATTGGAGATACGGTTGTGAGAGAGGTTGTAAGTTGTTCCCTCCCACCCCATATAAAATGTGAATTAAATGTCAGGTAGGGATTTAGGATAAGCTTGGAGGGGAAATAGGGTCAAAAGAGTGAAATGCTACCAAAACAAGCGTTTAACGTTTATCTTATGAATTTATTAAGTGTTCAGAACTAAGTTAAGGCCATGCCATATGGCATCTCACAAGCGGGTCTTGATGCACTTTGCAAATTATGAGAAGACTGAAAAAGGCACCCAGACCTCTGCATCCCTGTTGGCCTCCTTAGGATTCCATAAAGATTTTACAGTTCATCCATCTGTTGGGTCAAAATCAACTGATTTGGTTTATGTTTTGAGTTTCTCTTTAAAAGAAACTCTTTCCAGGAGGCCTGAACCTCCTTTTGCTGTCATGTCAATATTATAGACATATCTATAATAAACAGCAAGGGGAAGAATGATGCATGCCATTAAAAAATCAATGCTAAAACTGTAGCAGTATCGAGATAGACTCTGCAGTTCACCACTCAGTCATTCTTTTTTTGCATTTTGCTACTCTTCTCTAGTTTGTAAAGTAGCTGTTTGGACTGTTATTTTGCTCTCATGCAGTAAAATGTTTCATTTTCAGTTGATTTCAGTGGTGTACGAGCAAGGAGTTATGTCCCAGTTGTGCAAAAGCTTATATGTGCACTTAGTTTTTGGTAGCTGGAGCCACAATTTTAGAGGCCAGAAAGCAGGCTTACTTCTTAAAGCCAGTACGACTGCTCTTGTTTCCTGAGGGCTGCCTGTTAATTCATAAGCTTTAATGATTCCCAAGCAGAGGCCTTACCACCTTATGCATCTCTGAAGTTCATGCTTCTGGAGCTACTTTTCTTATAAATTATGCTTGTGTTTCTATCGGCTTGGGCTGCGTGTTTGGTGTCCTTGGGCATATAGATAGGAGACTTGGGAAAACCTGCAGATTTATTCCTCAACTCTTCCTTGCCTTGTACCATTGATTTTTTTACATGCAAGCAAACTGAAGGCAAAGCGCTTGTAAATTGGAATAGTTGTAGAGGCAGTGCCAGCCTGAAACTACATTGGAGCGATGTATCAAGCATTGGAGGAGCAGAAGAAAATGGTTTGCATGCTCACTGTCGCTGAAGGGAGTAGCAATTACTGACTCGCAAGCAATGCCGTGGGATATGGGGACAGTGTGCTGCCAAAACTGTTGCTTTTCAGATGACACATAGGTGAGGTGCTGGCAAATCTTGCTCACTAATGAGCTCCGGGTGCCTTACTTCAAGATAGCTGTGTTACATTTTGCAGCCTGGTCAAATTCCAGTTTGGGCAATTTATTCTATGTGAGTGAAATTCTATCTACAGCTTTACTAGTATATTGAATTTGTTTCTGCCTTAAACCATTGCCCGGTGTACTGCTAAAATCTTGCTGCAGTCTTTATAATAACTGGGTGTAGATAATTGATAAATTTTCCACTGATGTTTGCTTATTAAGATTCCTGTAATATTTGATGTCAGTCTTAAGGCCTGAGTTCCTGTAATCATCTGATTAGGTTTACTTTTCTTTTTAACTTATACACATTTAAATAAAGGTACTCATGTAAAAAGTATATTCCTGCCTCTCGCCTCTCTAGCATG